TCTTGGTGGCCATCCTTTGTGGACGCTCAAGCATCTTGCGATCACGTTACAACCATGGACTCCAAGCTTGGATGGCTCACTCTTTGTAGGGTCGAATGCACGCTGATAGCAAACGTGGGAATAGTGATGATTCAAACCGGCCAAAGACTCGCCGAAGTAAGCCGACATTCTTCATAGCAGCAGACGAAGCCTTAGCACAGTTGTTGGAGCAGCTTAAATCCTCTTGAACAACAATACCTAAGTTCTTTTCGCTAGAAGTATGTGATAGCTGCTGGTCCCCGAGGAAATACGAGAATTTCTGCTTGTGGCGTAGGAATAGGACTTTGCATTTAGAAACATTAAATTCAATGTCGTTCTCCTTAGACCATTGATAAGCTGCGTTGAGTGATTCCTGAAGTGTTTGAGAGCCCTCTGGTTCTGCTACGGTGTTCCATATTTTGACGTCATCTGCAAACAGTATTGTTTTTGAGCTTAACACTTTGATTAGATCATTTATGAAGGCGGGGAACAGCCCGGGGACCGAGTACGGACCCTTGTGGAACACCGTGGGTGGCTTTGACAGGTCCGAATATGGAATAAGAAACACGAACTGATATGTTCGTTGTTCGAGGAATGCTTCAATCCACTCAAATGCGAAATCTCGAACGCCATAATTGTAGAGCTTCTTCAGCAAAATTTTGTGATTCACTCGATCAAATGCTTTCGCGAAGTTGAGATAAATCACATCCACTGCATCCCCTTCGTCGACTGTACTGGTCCATTCATCTCGAACAAGAAGCAGGTTGGTGGTGCAGGATCGCTTTTGCCTAAACCCGTGTTGAGCTATCGAGAGAATGTTGTATTTTTCGAGTTGTTCCATCAGAGAATCTGCCACAATTAATTCCGTGACTTTCAATAATACCGGAAGCAGGGTAACAGGTCTATAGTTAGCGGGGTCACTACGGCAACCACCTTTGTATATGGGCGAAATTACTCCTTGTTTTCCACGATTCGGGGAGTGTTGCTTGGTCGAACATTCGTTGAAACAGAATAGCTATATGATTTATCAAAAAAGATCAGAGATTTTGGGTGTATGTTGTCCACACCTGGGGTTGAATTTTTTCGCAAAGCCATTATTTTTGCTTTGACCTTTTCAGCAGTAAATGAAACGTAGGTCAGTGAAGAATGTGGAAGATGATGCAACCGGTGGCGTAGATGTAAACCTTCTACCTGCGGTGCTGCAAAGACGTTGCAGTAATGGATTTTCAGCATTTCCCCTGCTTTCGTTGGAGTGGCTGCAGATTGGCTACAGACTGTATTCTTAAAATAAGTTGTGGAACTGTGCACTCAACTGTACAAAGCGATAAATTATTTTTCAACTATATTTCCTTAAAAGTTTAGCGGCGTATCAGCCAAATGCGGTGAATAAACTAGGAAGAGCTGTTTCTTATTGACAAATCATGTGTTTGTCCGAGAGCCAAAATAAGCGTTTGTTTTGCGTGCGGGACGGGAATAGTACATCAAAAGGACCATCGCTGCCAATGACTTAAATTTTCGAGCGATTGAGTTTGAGCCTCAGTTCTCATTGCAAGATTCAGTTTCCCCCCTCGCCATCTGACGGAATTGTCACACATGGCATGAAGCGTTGGCTTATCCGGTAACTTGAAATATGAACGATAAACTACTACGTAACATCACCATAGCTTAATATAATCGATGCCCGAAGAACCACTATGCTAAACAAGTGGGAATTTCACCCTAATCGATTATTTATCATTACTGTGTCCATTTTAACTTATGCAAGTGAAAAGTGAAGACGGAAAACGAACAATTCCAGTAACATCTAGATCTGTACCAAAGTTCACATCTCCCTAGTCCTCTCGAAGCTCGGTTTGTAATTGCTCATTGTCGTGCATTTTCGTCACACAATTGAGTATACCGCAGAGTGAGAAATGCAAACACTTTACTTACGAGGTGAGCAAACGCTCTCTCATCTAGCTTGATATTCCATCTACCCCATTGTGGGCTAATGCGGCTTTTCACACCAAGTCTCACAATTTTGGTTTCTGATTTCCATAAGTAGGCAGCAGGTCCCCGTGACAGTACGGTTTTTCCTTTCAGCTGTTCATCGCGCAATATGTACTCAATAAAATATTGATGATTTTGGTGTAATTTGAATTTTGGACCAGTAAAACCGGTACCCAAAAGAGGCTGAGAAAATAAACTGCTCACGCATCGTTTCTAATTATAGGTCCAAGATGAAGATGAAAATGCTCATCCCTAATCTGTGTGACAACTTATCTTCCAAATGCACTGTAATTGATATGGTACATTGCAATTGTTTTAAGGCGACTTAACTATCGAAAGTGAATTTGCTTTATGCTTCTAAGACTACATTTTCTATACCATTTTCAGCACCAGTTTCTATGGCAATTAGACAGCCAGTGTTATATAGCGGACTGAAATTCAATACGAAATACATTGTTCATGATTCACATCGATTGCTTACT